TTAGTGCATGAGTAAACATATGTCCAGACAACAGATCTGGTCTGAGCAGGGCCAGTCCTGGACAGTTTGGCACTCTAGGCAAGATTAACTCTCACTGCCAATTTACAAACATTATACCAAGTGAAATAGTTTTGTCTTGAATATTTGTTTTTATTTTAAGAAACCAGGTTGATTAATACAGTCTAGTGTTGGACAATATTGTCAATAAAATTAATCACGATTAATTGTGGTATTTAGTCGATAATGATTAATTTGACGATTAATCCCCTGGAGTCCCTGGACACCCTCATGTCCTAGTCACATGACCAATTTAGTGAGAAAGATTTGCTCTTCATACAAATCTGTTCCAAATTGTGTCAAAATTACAGACTTCAGGCTTCAAATTTTAAATTGTGCTGATAGATAAATAAATTACAGAATTTGTTTAAAAAATGTGCATCATATTTAAAGCAGAGAGGAGCAGTGAGCGGACTCTGCCTGGTGGCATTAATCATATTAATCGTCAAGTGCCAAAAAGTAATCGATTGTTTTTCTGACGATTAACTACACAAGATACGATCATGCCCAACCCTAATACAGTCAAAATATAACTAATTTAAAACAGAATAGAAGTCTGCCTTATACCTGCCAACATGCGCTAACATGAAGAACACCCATTCATAATAACCAGCAGCTGTGGACTGAAGCAGTTTTAGGGGGGTCCAGGGATATATTCCCTTGGAAAACTTTGTAGATCTACTCAAAACTGCCGTTTTCCAGACAGTTGAAAATAGTTTTATGAACTTGTTGGGATTAATAAAACATGATCAAATCTGTATTTTATGAAGTTTGAACACTGAAGACTAAACTGAACTTTACATGAGATCAGAACTGAAACTTCTATTATCCTTATTTTGTTTTCTGCTTACACACTGAGCAGCGGGAGTTAGTTCTGACTGCAAAATGTGATACTTTTATCATGAAACATCCTCTGCACCACATAACACCTCATGTAGGAACAAAGCAGCTGAGAAATTCACAGAACAAGTTCATAAACCCGAGGAACCAGTGATTATTCCACAGACTAAATCAACCAGACTCTAAGAAAAAAATTGTTACTTTTTATTGCCCGCCACCCCATGGAGTGCCCTTAGTGTTTGCCTACACTGCCTACGCTACGGGCTGACCCTGTCTGAACCAGTGTTGTATAAAGGACCACAAAGTGACACTTGAGTAAATACAAGTATCTTACCAAAAAACTTACTTTGGTAAAAGTTAAAGATATTACTAAAAGTATGAAAGTATCTGATATTTTTGGTACTTAAGTATCAAAAGTAAAAGTATTGCTTTATGAGCAGTTAGATTTTTTGTAATGATATTTATTAGGAGGTGACCTCCTCAAAAAAAAAATGCAGAAATAACTGTTGTATTAAAATAATTTATGTTAAATTTAAGATGCACTAGTCCAGCTGTTTCAGTTTATATACATACAGTATATCAAGGCTGCACAAACATTTTCCACAAAATGAAAATCTATCTGAGGGCTGCAGCCAAATGCAAAAATATCATTCATGAAATACAAATACTTCTTAAGTACAGTCCTTTTATTTTAATGATTATGTCCTGCTGGAGTGTGACATGATTTGTTTGTGTACAAACTAATACGGTATCAGAATTTCATATATTTATACTTCTCATTCAACCACAGTTAAATTCACTCTATAGGAGGCACAATTTATATGGACAGTATTTATTTTTTACAATAACAAGCTGGAATGAAAACAAGCAAAAATAAAAGTAACGAGTTTCTACTTCTTGCCTTTTTTTAAAATGTAAGGAGTATAAAGTACAGATAAGTGTGAAAACGTAAGAAGTAGAAGTAAAAAGTAGGCTGAAAAATAATTACTCAAGTAAAGTATAGATACCCAAAAGTTTTATTTAAGTACAGTAAAGAAGTATTTGTTCTTAGTTTCTTTACAACTCTGGTCTGAACTCATGAACACTTTAAAAACCAGCTGCTCTGTTTACTTGTTTTGTTATCTTTCCTCAGGTTTGGCATACGCTTTTGATAAACTGGACACTCTGAACCTGAACACACCGTACGACTACAACTCTGTCATGCAGTACCACAGGTGTGGAGAGGCCACTCACTGTCGTTATTCATCTACAGCTCATTTACATCACCTGGGACTAGTTTCTGCTTTTGATTTTTGTTTTCTTTGTTTCAAAGACGTTGAGCTATAAAACAGTTGATTTTAACTGTTTTATAAAGAAAACATGACCCCATCTTTCCCGTTCACAACAAAAACTAACCCAAGCTCTACTTTTATTCCAGATATGCTTTCTCTGCCAACAACAAGCCCACCATGGAGCCCATCCCTAATCCAAATGTTCCGTTTGGAACAGCCACTCAGATGAGTCAGAACGACATCAACAGGCTGAACAGGCTGTACAAATGTTAAACAGTAAGGAAACATCACACAAACATCTAAGAAAGAACAAATGGAGTTTAGCTTTAGAGAGTGAGCCTGTTGCCATGTAGTTACAATAAAAATACACACTCCAGTGTGAAAAGACTTATTGATGAAATAGCTGTTTTATGACATCTCTGTAGAACTCCAGACCTCTAAAAAGCCTTTAATGTATTTATTTAATATTCTTTAGCATCAGGCTGTTGGTCCAGTTTATTTTTTCCCATACAGCAGTGGTTCCCAAACTTTTTCAGCCAACCCCCTCTTTGGGTTATAAAAGAATTGTCTATAAAATGGATCTTTTGGAGTATTTGTTGAAACAGGTTTTCCATATGTTGGCTACTATAAGCTGCACTAAACCTTACCCTTTTTATTCAGTGTTCTCATTTCAAATGTCACCTCTGGTCTTTAAGTCTGTTTTTTTTTATTTTCCAACAGGTGGTGAGAATCCTGGCATCACGCTGACTGTTCACAAATCAGATTAGTTATTTCTCAGGATTCTCTTTTTCTGAATAAAAGCAGCTGTGAACAATACAACTGACTTTAAGTTCTTCATTTACAACACAGTTTTATGGTCATTATTTAGAAGTTCTTTGTGTTTTTTAAATGTAAACTACAATATCAGCCGTTTCTTGTCACTGGTGCTGCTGCGACAGCAGGAGGAGTGTGTTTAGAGACTGAGAGGAGGAACGAACTGAAAGAATGTTCAGGAATGATGTCTTAACTGTTGACACTTCAAGGTTTATCAATTCATCCACGCTCTCCTTTTTATTCACACAGAGATGGGGACTCGTGACTCGGACTTGAGTCGCACTTAAGTCCCTACTATTAGACTTAGACTTGACTTGGACCCTAAAGACTTGAGACTTGACTTGAACTTGTGGTTTGAGACTCGCAAACAATGCAAGTCTTTTCACTGCCCGAGTCATGATTCTCACTCCCTCAATACACATCCATGCTGCGCTCCTTTGAGAACAAAAACATTAAGTTTTGAAAGCAAAGACATTTACTCCTGCTCTCAAATTAAAAATATACTCTCTTGATTAAAGTCAGAATAATTCTTCCATACACTCCGCTCCCTCTCACCTGAGAATGGGAGGGGCCAGCGCTGTCTAATGTTAATGATGTGTACCCTACATGACAAACAGAGCTTCAGCATGGCAGGTGTGTTGCCATTGCCATCCATTATAAGCTTTGCTTACAGAGACTTTATTCAACGCCATGACAAGAGACTGGCAAAATGTAAAGTGTGTGGAGTCTGAATACAATATTTGTTTTTGTGATGACTTGTGCAGCCCTTTTACTTTAAGGATTCTGGTTCATCACTGACATGCTTTTATGCATTTAAAAATATTTTTCTGGTATTTTATTGTAAAATCAGGAGCAGATTTGTTGGATTTGTTCTTTGTCAATGAAAGGATATATTTACAGTATGCTTTTGTAAAATTACAAGTGCAAAACAGTTAACAATACTCAGTGCTTGACTGTTGTCATTTCAACAATCATTTCATTAAAATATAGTATTATAAAATATAGTCTAGTATAGTTAGAATACCTTTAATCAAACTGCCAAGTAATACATTCAACTAGACTTGGAAATGAGGTCAAGAGACTTGACTTGGGTTTTTGGTCAAAGGCTTGGAGCCAAAGACTTGAGACTTGACTTGGACTTGCAAAAAAGACTTGTGCACATCTCTGTATTCACACCTGTTACAACTCATCATTTATATTGTGGTGGAAAGGGTTTGAGACTCACGCTCATCACTGATGGCAGAAGCATGGTCATTTTACAGCTCAGGACCAGCATCTACATGTGAACCTCCAATCCTTGTTCTTTATCAACAGGCTGCTACAGCTGGAGCTCATAAAAACATAGAAAAGAGAGAAATATTAACCTTTTTTCATGTTGGTTGTGGAAAAACTACATTTAGTTGTCTGTGCTCGTTGAATCTGTAGTTTCAATGTCAAACCACTAGATGGTGCTGTAATCACCCCAGCCTCCTCCCATCAACTCATCTCTTTTCCTCTGTGAGCAGCTTTATAAATTAAATCATACAGGGTTTCCGCTCTTTAAATCTTACAGTGCAACACTGAGCCTGATACCTTGCCAGTTTCTCTAAATTCACACCTTCATGCCAAAACATACAGAAGCCCTGAAAGACAAGGAGGGAAAACATTTTTCTGAAGTCCCATATTCTAAGTCTGATCAAACTGTTTCTCTTGACTGCAAGTCATAAGGCATGTAAAAAAAAAATCAAATAAAAGGCAGAAAAACAGACCAGAATGATACCCATATTTTGGGACTGTGTAGAAAGACATTAAAAAGTATCCAGACTGCATGGTTTCTGTTTTTACCTTATTTCTGAGGACATAAACAGAAACTCGTGAACACAATCAGACATGGTTACAGTAGTAACATTAAAAACATTTATTCAGACAATAAAAAGCAGCAAAACGAGACAAGGAACAAATTAATTAAAACTAAATTAACCTCTCAATATTTTCATTACTTCAAAGATAAAACTCCCATTTAGGAAAGATTTCAGAGAACAGCTCAGTACAGCTGAGGACAGAACCAGACCGAGGACAGTTAGAGACTCCAGGGAGGAAGACCAGGACGTGTGGATGAGGATCAGAAGGACAGGTTGATGAGTGGAGCATCATTCTTCTTTTCTTCTGGACTCCACTTTATAAGTGGAGAGCTCAGGTCAATCAGCTAAAAAAACAAACAAACAAAAAAAAACATTGGTAAAAATATTAAACATTCAGTTCATATCAAAAACAGGACTTTAAATGCATCATTTGTCCTGTAAGTTGCATCTTTAATGATTACAGTTGTCAGGTTATTGTATTAGTTTCATCTACAAGCAGATGATAAACAGTTTGAGCGCCTCCTTGTGGCAGCACCTTCTTACTGCAGGTGAGTGAGCGCTGTGGAAAAGGTGAGATGACACGCTCTCTCACACTAAGAACCTTGTCAGACACGCGGCCCTCTGTCTGCCTGCTGAATGCAGGTGTTTTCAGGACAAACATGGGCTTTTGGAGGACATGACATCACCTGGGTTGTGGTGCAGCTCTTGATGTTAGTGCGAACCAAGTCAGGGGTGTTGGTCAGATCAATGAGCAGCTTCTCCTGAGGCTGTAAAGTCGGAGGAGAAAGATCCAGCAGGAGAGCCTGAGGAGAGAACAGATCTGTCACCAGAGCCTGAAGAATTCAACTCACCAAACTAAACACGATATTTAAAGGGGACCTATTATGCAAAATTCACTTTTTAAAGGGTTTTTTACTCAACTTTGGGTATGTACTTCTTTAAAAAAAACAGTCCTAGGACCAAAAAAATGCACCCAGGGGCATATTTACTGTAAGTAAATGTATTTTTAATGTATATTAACGACAAGTTTTATACTTCCGTCATTTTGTGATGTCACAAGCCGTACGATAACCCACCAGAAACTGCATTCAGCCCCTTAACTAGCAACCCCCGGGTGAGGCTCCACCTCCTCAGTATAAAAAGCCGTCACAGTTGTTGTTGTGTAATGTGCAGCTCATTTCACAACGAGCCTCCAACAGGGCAATGAGTAGAGTGTTGGACCAGAGAGTGGGAGACCAGAGTGTAAGACCGGGACGGACTCAATTTAATTATTTGTTTTCATTCGTTATGAACACGTTTTCTCATGTACCTCTACTGTTTAGCTTATTAA